ATCTTTTTTTTCAATAAATTCCAAAATCACTATCATCATCATTGACTGTCAAATACATTATTATGAGACATTTTTATTTAAAAAAAATGAATATTGAATATAAATCATTAAACTTATCATTATAATGAAGCTTATCATTATATTCGGTATGTAAAAAAAATCGATTGACTTCAAACAAAGCCGAACGAAAAATAAAAACAAAAACAAAATACAGAATTTCGATTTGTTCAAAAATCTATCTTATTCATACAATTTATTTTACGATTTTGAATATAAAAATAAATTTGAACAACATTCATTTTTTTCCGTGTCATTGGTCAAACTGATCGTTATCATGGCTAACATATAAATTGAATAAAAAATTTTCATCCATTTTTCTGAAATTTCAATATTTTATTCTGTTTCAGGAGAATTTTTTTTCCATCAAACTTTGCAGACAAAAAAAGGAAAGACATCATCTAATTAAAAAGTACGTTTGTTCTATAGAAAACAATCAAATAACCCATTTACTTTGATTGCATCAATCATGACTAGATTCGGGCATTTCTTTTTTTATTATTATTCTCATTTGATAACCGGTTACGAGACAAAAAATTTTGCCGCCTCATAACATCCGATTCGGATTTACTTGAATCTTATCAAACGACAAAAAAAAACATAAATGACATGACTTTGATACCGAAACAATATTATTCCTTATTTTTTTCGTTTCTCATATTTTATTTGAAACTTCTGGTTGACGACGACAACAACAACAAGAAAAATTTTGATGTGTTATGGTTATTCAAATGAACGAATGGTTGATTTTTTTTCCGTTTGCTGATAATGTCGAATGTCATCAAACAACGAACAAGCAAAAAAAACAAGCAAACTTTGAATTTCAACCATTTATAGATTCATTCATTCTGTGTCATTATTTGGAATTTATCATTACATATTTATATTTGAACGTAGACTTTTTTCTTATTGCGATCGGCTTAAATGTTTTATTTTTCTTTTGGTATGTGTTCAGTCATGTGTTTGTAAAAAAAATCAAAGAAATCGCAGACAGAATCCTTTTTTTTGTTGTTGTTGTTTTCGATTCTCAAACAACAACAATAATGTCAAAAAAAACGAAGGATAAAAGATTATTTTGTATATGGTCAATGACTTTCAATTCATATTAATCTATCGTGTTTTAATAGTTTGTGTTCGGTATGTTGGTCATCAATAAATCGAAATGGAATGAAAAGAAAATTAAATTGAAATGTGAATTTGTTGTTGGTGGAAAAAAAACAGACAAAATTCCACTGGGGTGAATGAGAAAAAAAAATTTGACAAAGATTAACAAATAATAGAAACCAATTGACTTGATGATACTAATGATGAAACATTTTCATTTTCTTTATTCTATTGGATGGATCGAATTAGCCTGAAGCAAATCGATGCTTTTTTTTTCTCTCTCTCTCCCAATTTCAATTTGGGCAAATAGAATCGTTATTATTTTATTCTATTACAACTTTATATGATGTTGCACCAAAATGAAAACAACCAGAAAAAACAACAACAACAACAACAACAATGACAAGTTAAGAAAATGGATCAATCTTTTATGCTATGTTGTTTTTCTTTTTCTTTTTCTTCAATTCAAATATTCTTTCATATCATTTAATCGAATTGAAACCTCAATTGAAATGGAAAAAAAGAAACAACAGTACATATTGAGCGAACAAAAAATATATAAACATCAGGCTTTGTGCTATCTTTTATAAGATAAAGAAAGACAAAACCGATATGAATTCAGTGATAAAAAATATCGTTTAAATTGAAAACTTTTTGTGAAATGTTGGGAAAAATCCATTGCGATAAATAAACGATTAAATATAAATCGAATAAACATGATAGACAAGTATTGTTGTATATGATAGATAAAATCATCAAGATCAGAATTTTGAAATTAATTACATCCAACTAATTCATCACGAAAAAATATTCAAAAAAAAAAATTCAGAATTGCAGATGAATTTGGTAGTTTAAAACAAATTTATTTTTGGAAATCATTTTCAAATGAAAACAATCTTGAGGCGATTTTTCTTCTTTTTTTTTGGTTTTGGATCATTTTTGATATTCACACATCATTTCAAACTAAAATCATTATAATCCTTTCCGTATAGGTTTTATTTGATGAAATTTTTCAAAAATTAACAGCTTTTACATGATTGTTTCCATTAAATTTCTTTAAATTGCCAGTAATTTGCAAGTATTTTTTTCAAATCATTTTATTTTATTATTTTTATCTTTCGTTTTTTTTTCAGTGCTCAATCCAAAAATTCAATCATTTCTATTGATCTTTGAACTATTTTTTTTCTTCAATGAAAAAGGGAAAACATCAAAATGAAATGAAAAATAAATTAAATTTAATCGAAACATCAAAACAGAAAAAGCGTAGAAAATCAATGAACAAAATGAAGAAGAAGAAGAAAAAAAGTAGAATTTGCTTGGAATAGATTTGTCATTCTTATGATGATTATGACATTGATTTTCTCAATCATTTGAAAAAAAACGAGAAAGAAAATTTATTCAACAACTTTTTTTTTCCAGCAATAATATTTAGGCAAAAAAAAATAAGAAAAAAAAGACAAATTTTTCTTCGTAAATCATTTTCCATTCAGAAAAGAAGAAGAAAAAAATTTTCTTTTCACATTATTCCAGTTAGTGTATACCATCATCATCATTATTATGGAATGATTTCAATTATTTTTTCCAAAGAACTAGATTCAAAAGAAATTTGAAAAAAAACAAACAAACAAAAAACATCATTTCAAACAGAGAAATATCTCAAAAATATATAAAAATATCATTATCATTATGCGTTTATTACAAATGATATTTATAAATATTACACTGAGAAAAAAAAATAAATAACATCATTTCATTTCAAATTCTATAATAACCGATTGGATTTGTTTGTTTGTTTGTTTGTGTTTTTCTCTATCTTCGAAGAATAAGGAAAAAAAACAAAATATATCATTACTCACATTCACTGTATTTTGATCGATTCAACTTTGTATAGAATTGCCTATTGGTGTTGATTGTTTTTTGTTCTGGTTGAAATCTAACGTTATTTTTTTCATCAAAATTTTCACTAGATTCGATTCGATTATCCCGTCGTCATCACAACCGATGATGATGGTGATAATGACAATCGAAATCTAACTTGGACTCAACACACACACACAAACAGAAAACTCATTTAATTGATTTCAATTTATTTTATATCGTTTGTTGTCGATAATTCATATCAAAACAAATCTTTCTTTTGATTTGTATTTGTGTGTTTGTATTAGTGTTATGTGAAAGTTTCTTTCCAATCACATCCATTGTCCAATCGAATTCCAATGTTTTAAAATTTGGTATGTCTATGATTGTAAAACTAATTGCTACTGTTGTTGTTGTTGGATGATGAAAGTGAATCAAGATGAATTTTATTCGCTGTACCGAAAATAAGAAAATCGAAAGAATTGAACCATACAATAATAAAAAAAGAAGAAGAAAGAAAGAATTGAAGTATTGATCTGCTTGATTTGTTTTTTATTATTTAAGAAAAAAAACCTATTGTTGTTTGTTTGTTTGTTGCTTGGTTGTATCCAATCGTTTTATTATTGATCATCCAAATATATTTAGTTTTTTGTTGTTTGAAATTATTTCCATTATTATCTGGTTTGTCGATTATCTTCTGTATCGATGATGATGATGATGATAACGATAGAAATCTTCAAATGATTCTATCGTAAGTGTGTTTAAATCATCCAAATTCCATTATCACTATCAGTGAACATTGATTATATTTATTTATTTTAAACGATTCCAATGTTGAAAACAACTATTATAATAATAAAAACATTCATTGATAATCATTACTGAAGCAAACAAAACTCTCTCTCTATATTTACCTTCATCTATCAATCCATCAAATTGAATAGCAATGAAAATTATTGGCTGATTCACATCCATTCATTCATTCATTCTTCTATTTTTTTTCGAATTCGAGATTTATACGAGGACGAGAAAACCACGAAACTTGTATATTTTATTTACGAAAAAGAAAAACAAACAAAAAAAACATTGAAGCTTTGAATGTCAAAATTGGATATTTTCCATGCTTTTTTTTCGCCTGAATATATTTCCAATCCATCATTCACAATGTTCTCACCTGTACTGTATTTGATCCATTATGATGCACATCACACACACCGATCTGGACGTTTAAAAACATTTTATCGTGATTAAAAAACAAATTCTATTCCTATTTTTTTTTTTGATTTTTATCGATGATTCAATTATATTTATTCCATTTGTTTGTTTATTTGTCCTTATCAACAATACGATAGTATTGACTTTAATGTATTAAAATAGATTCACCTTACCTTATTTTTATACCTATCAATTACAATTTAATTCTGTTTATCGATACATTTGATAATATTGGAATGTTCGACATTCATGTTTGACATCATAGTTTTTTCACTCTTTCTCTCTCTCTCTCTCTCTCTCTCTCTCTCTCTCTCTCTCTCTCGCTTGGGACTGATTTGCACTTATTTGTTATTTTTGTTTTGAAATTGACTATCGTGAATAAATGATGAATGACAATGGGTTCCATAGGAAAAAAACTCATTATTCAATGGATGTATGAAAAATTTCAAATTGATTTTTTAGATTGATTTGAAAGTTAAATCATTTTTGTAGAATTTTTTTGTTTGACGTCAAGAACAAGTCTATCTATTCTTGTTATTTGAAACAAGTTTGAAAAAAATGAAAAAAAGGTCTACAAAACTATTTTCGGAATTATTGTTTCAATGATAATGATAATGACATTCAATGAAAAATGGCAATCCATTGTATCCTGAACTTGACCTTCATATAACTCGTTTTTTTTCATATATTTTTTCTCTATTTTGAATGTCAAAAATAAACTTTCCTTTTCATGATGCGAAAAGTAAAAAATAAAACAAATTACAAGGCAAATTTGTTGTCTAACGACAAGTTTTTTTATTTGGTTTTTTTTGATTAGAAACAACAAGTGTTTACTTCAAATAATACATGTGTTTGGTGTTAACATTTACAAGATTATAAGACTTCTACATCTTAACCATGGTATGGACGACCATATCCGCCGACAGCCAAACCTGGACCATATGCTGGACCAACAACACCACGGCCATATCCGCCATAACCACCATATGCTGGAGCAGCAATAGCACGACCATATCCGCCATATCCGCCATAACCACCATATGCTGGAGCAGCAATAGCACGACCATATCCTAAACCACCACCATATGCTGGACCAACAACACCACGACCATATCCTAAACCACCATAATGTTGAGCAGTAGCCAAAGCCAAAACGGCAAAGAAAACGATAGCGATAAATGATTTCATTTTTGGTTGATTTTGTTTTGGGATTTGATTTTGTTGAATGATTTGATTCGTTTGATGATTTTTCAATTGATTCAACAAGCTATATTTATATGAAATTTCAAAACCGATTCAAATGAATCATTCTTGAGCTTGAAAAAAGTTGGAATGACTTATTAAAAACAACAACAACAACACATACATATTGACACTCCCAATAACAACAACCTGCTACAACCAACAAAATTATTATTAGAAACCGGAATAGAAATGAATTATAATGAAACAAAAAGAGAAAGAGGAAGGTGGAATCATGATGATGATGATAATAATAATAAGGATGATGATAGCTTCAAGGTTTAGACAACAACAACAACAACAACAAAATTAAGATAAAAATAATGCCAATTTTCTGAGAAAAAAAAAGAAAACGTTGTTCAAAATAGCCACAATAATAATGATAATAATAATAACCATCACCTACACCGTTTAATCAACATAATATGTATGTGTGTTTGAAATAAATGACAAAATGACCTTCGTGTATCATCATATTTCTCATTATCAAAAAAAAAAATTCAGAATGAATCGTTGTTCCAACAACAACAACAGCAAGAAACATATGGAATATTTCAATCATAATGATTATTATTATTATAATTTAACATTCACACAAATGGTCATATTTTTCAAAATTCTTTTCTTCTGTTGTTGTGGTTATTCTTCATCAATCATTTTTCAACAACAGACGAAAAAAAAATCATCAGCAAGGTAGATTGTATTTATTTTATAAACGCGTGTGTCAGATTGTTGAATATATTGTTTGTATTGTATTCAAAAAAAATATACATTCGTCTGTTTCCTTGATCATCGACACACGATTCATAATCAAAATGAAAAAAACTATTGCTTATAAGTAAGCTTAAGGTCAATCAGAAAATATTGATTATACAAATGAAAAGATGATTGGCCATTGACCAATCTTGTTTTTTTTTCCTGCTGTCATTATCATCAGAAAAAAATTCTTTGCAATTAAATGAAAGATTGGTCAATTTTTTTATTTCTTTGTTTAACCTTCTTCTGAGAATTTTCCTTGAATGACAAAAAGAATTATTTCCATTATGGGTATGGGATTTTTTGTTTTGTTTTTTTGTTTTTCTTTACGCAAATAAGGCAAATCCAAAAAAAAAAAAATCCTTGGATTTGATATGAAAACGGGGGAAAAAACTTCAACTATACTCATTATGGATGTAAATGATTGTTTTTTGTTTTTTTTTCACACATATTGAAAAAATCTGGAATCCCAGGCAAAACAAAATAATTTATGATTTGTTTTTTTTCAATGAAAAACTTGAAAAACAAATCTGGTTCATTCTTGGTGGTTGATAGATTTGTGAATATAGAGATGTTTTTGTCGTTTTTTTTTTGATGATGATTTCTTCGAAATAATATCCATTTTCTACGAAGATCTTATCATTTTGGTGGATGAAAGAACGACGAAAACCATGAAATGTCCAAGATTTATTGTTATTGTCTTTTGTTTTCCCCCAAAACTCGTTAGATTGTTATATCATTTGGTTTGAGAAAATGACAACAATTGCTTTTGTCATCAGTATCATTGATAGTTTTTGTTACATCTATGTGTGTATATAAAATAAAAAAAAGTTTTCAACGAACAAATGAAAGCCAATTTATGGATGTTTTCATTCGAACAAACAACCAAAATGACTCGTAAGAATTTTTTTTTTGTTGTTTTTGTTTTTGGTTTTTTTTCACAGTTTTTAACACCATCAATAAAAATTGTCAATAGAGAAAGGGACAAACAATAAATCGGGCAACAACAACAAGTAATTGTGATCAAAAGTCGATATTTATGTGGGAGGAGGAAAAGGAAAAGGAGGCGAAAAAAAGAAAAATTCCGGATAGTAATAATGATGATGATGATGATGAGGATATTGTGTTAACAACAAATAATGATAATAATTTGATTTTTTTTTCTTTCTTTTTCTTTTTTTTTGTTTATTTTTCTTTGAAAAAAAACATATTAAACGTCCCAATCAATATCATGTGTGTGCTGGAAAATAGCTCTAATTTTATCATTATCATCACAAAAGATGAAACAACAACAACAACAACAAAAAACTGTTGGACCATACCATGAAAATCAGTTGAAGGATTTTCTTTTATACAATCTATTTCACTCTTTTGTTTTTTTTATATTCAAAAAAAATAAAAAACAAACAGCAATAACAATGATAACGACTTTAGCGTAATATGCGTATCGTTGGGCAAAACTTGGCAAACAAAAAAAAATTCACTATCCCCAAAATTGTGATCTTTACGATCAAATCGATCGATCAATCGATGGAAAATGTTGTTCTTGTTGCTATCATTATTTATTTATTTTTTTTTCTTTGCTACCGCTATTATTTTATATTTGTTTTTTTTTCAGGCCTGATGATGAACGTTCCAAAGAATTTTTCTTTTTCTTTTTCTTTTTTTTGACCGGACACATCATCGTCAAGGGTGGACATGATAATTATTAAATTCTTTTCTTTTCTGGCCCATCCGCACATCAGTAATATATACAACATTTTTATATTCAATCTATTAAAGTTATTCTAAAATTATTCTTGAATTCAACCATTATCAATGGACACACACAAATGTTTCGATTATATTTTTGATGATGTACAATCAAATTGGTCAATGTGAAATCATTGTCATAAAGTTTTAATTTAATTCGAAGAAAACAAAAAAAAATGGCTGTTTGAGCATACAATTGAAACAACAAATGGCGAAGAAATCTTAATGAAAATTATAAGATTTCAAGGCGATGATCATCATCATCATCATTATAATTTTTGAACAAAAATTGAATAGTGAAAAAATTTGATTAGTTTGAATTTGTAATGAAAAAATAAGAACAAAAAGATTTTTTTATTCGATTTGAAAATCATTAAACAAATAATTCTTTTTGTCCATTTACTTTCATTTGCTGTTGTTGTTTGTTTTTGTCAATGTCGCTGTCGTTATGATTTTCCAGATAAGTAATAATACTAAAAATAAAAGGCAGCCATTAAATGGGTTTTAATAAATTTAATATGATCAATTGGAAATTGGATTGGTCAATTTGAGATTAGGTTTACTTTTTTTCTTCATCTCTCTCTCTATTTATGTGTCAGAAATCATTGTTCCTATGGCAACAAATATTCTTTTCTTTTTGTTGTTGTTTTTCAATCAGACGTTATTGAATTGAACAGAACTTTTTTTTCAAGTTTTTAAGTTTCATATATGAAATCAACTAAAGCTGGCGTTTGACAATTTCAATAATCATTTTATTAATTTATTCATTTTATTATTAGTAAAACATTTGGAGCGTTGCTTTTTTTTTGTTTGAAATTTTAAATTACAAAACAATTTTTAAAAAAAATTGAAAAAAAAAGAATTCAGATAACAAAAAAACAACCAAATCCAAACAATCGTTATTGTAAACTTTTTTCTTTCGATGAATTGTATGATCAATTTTCATTTATTGGAATTTTTCATTCCGATAAATGAAATTCTGATGATTCTTTGTCACACACACGCAGACAAAATGGGTAACAATTTAACAAAGGAAAAAAGTGAAAGCAATCATATCATTTAGATATAATTAATATTCTCTGCAAACACACAATAGTTACAAATGGTATAAATGGTATAACTAGAGAAAAAAAATGAAATGAAATTCTCCAAATATAGCATTAAGTAAATTCATTTTTTACTGAAGTGGCCATTTGCAATTAGTTGATGGCAAACAACAATAAACGAAAAAAATCAACAACACAAATGATTAGTGTGATTATGATTTGATGATTCGACAAATTTGGAAAAGTTTCTGTGTGTGTGAAACAACAACAAAAAAATTCTCTCTTAATTATTCATTTTTTTTCATTGTCACAATTATAATGATAATCAATAATTAGTGAAACCATAGTAACAAAATTATCAATAGTATCATCATTAATTAAATGTAATTTTGGATTATATTATGAAATTGAAGAATCTTTTCAATTCAATTCACCAAATAAAATGTTAAATTGGAAAAATAAATACATAAATAAGCTGATTGCATTGATTTGATTTGAAGTTAAATTATTATTATTTTTCTTCCGATTTTGATATAGATTTATTGCTAAAAATTATATGCCATCATCGTACATTCCGCAAAAACAAAACAAAGAAGATTATAATTATTAAAAGGCAATGATAAACATCGATAATAATCAATTTTTTTTTCGATAAATCGATTTATTATTTGACATTTTCTATGTGTGTTTGTGTATCGGAATGAGTGTAATTACCTCTTGGACAACAGGATTTTATTCTTCGATATTACATTCAATGTTCACGACAATAAGAAAACACTTTTTTCGCCTTTTCATATCCGATATGATGATAACAGCACTCAAATCCTGTTGTAGGATTCAAGTGGTATTTATTCCAACATATGGGGTATAATGGAAAAAAAAGACTAGAAAGTCCATAAGGAGCGAAAAGAAATGATTACGATAATAATAATAATAATATCTAAAACAACACAAAGCATCACATACCATAAACTTATTATATGAAAAACTTGTATATAAATGTTTGACATATATGTAATGTATGTACATCTGTTGTTCTTGTTTGGAATGTGAATATCTATAGATGCAAAAAGTATGTGTATGGCGTGACAAAAAAAAACGGAAAAAACGAAAGCGAGAGAATGAGTGAATGTGTGAAACGAAATAAACGATCAACGAAATGGAAAAAAGCCGACAATTCTAATGTAATGAAAAAAAACGGAAGACAAAAACAAAAAACCAGATGATGATACTTTTTTTTTCTTTGGTCATTCACAAGTATTCAGTAAATATATTTGGTAAGAAAAGGGGCCAAAAAAAATTACAACAATAAAGAATGAATCTCGAATAAATAAAAAAAGAAATTTATGAAATGATTGTGATAGCAATGGAAGAGAAGAGGGAAAAATTTTGTACATGAAAGATCGGATGATAATTAAATAAATCAATTACATCTAAACACACTTATATACCGAACGACGATTATAATG